ATCATATTTTGGATATACTATCTTGTATATTTTATTATTATTATTCAACACACAGACACACACCAAAAGCTACTCCCGAAATATATATATATACGAGCCTCTATCATATTTTGGATACACTATCATATATATTTATTTTCCTTTTATTCAATATACGGTTACGCACCAGAAGCTACTCCCAAACTATATATATATAACCTGCTATCATATTTTGGGCTTACTATCATATATTTTTCTTTTCTTTTATCCAACACACGCACATACGCACAAATGCACACTCGCCCAATTGTCCACCAATACAATTGCTGCACTGATACAAATTATACATATTGTCTATTTCTTTTTGTGTCTTTTTACAACCTAAGGATTCTACTCAATAATTCGGACAGAATGCACTTTTTTGTAAATTGGTATTACCAATTGGTTGCGCAGACAGCTTTGTGTATCCCTAAGCTAAAAGAACATAGCAGGGTCCATTGACAGGGATACTGTTACCCATACATAGATTTAAAGACCGTCTAGTGTTCACTTATAATCGCCCAGAGAGGACGGTATATTAAAGTGGTCTTCACTGCGCCGTAACCAAAATAAAATAAAAATTCTATTTAACGATGGCGTGAATCCTCTTCCTATGTTCCCTCCATCCCGCCATCCCACCATCCCGCCATCAACTTTACAAAACTACCAGAATCGCCACCACCAACAATATTATTCTTTTATTTTATAATCACTGAAAAATAAAAATCGAAATAATGGCCATATAATAAAACCTCAACACTCGGAAGTCATATACAATATTTCTCTATACCTAAAGTGTTATATGTCACCATTCTCAGAGCTGACCTTCAACTCTCCAAGTCATATAGTATTCATACCACCATAATTCCAACACCTTCTTCGATCCCAATGACGCCATTCAATTCCGTCCCATCCCATCTAATTCCATCCCATCGGACATAATTTTCAAAGCTCACGCCTTTCAGTATACTTTTATGCGACTGGGTCTAGACCAAGCGGACGCCACCTAACAAAAAGTCTCGCGATGTTAATCTCTCGTCATTAGCATGCGCCATGAATGTCAAAACTTTGTCACACTGACTACTCACACGGACCACCCACACGGACCACCCACACGGACCACCCACACGGACCACTCACTCACACCGCCCACTTCTCGCCCATATAAAAAATACACTACTATTAAAACTTGATATTTTTAAATAAAAAATAAACTCATATTATTGTTCTCACGCATTGTTTTATTCAGTTTTCTTCTAATAATAAAGTGTTTCTCTCAATCATTTGTAAAGCAGACATTGTATTTATGGGCAGACAAAAATGGTTTAAAAAAAAATTTTATTAATATTCAAATATATCGTCAGAATCTTAGTTCACCACCTATAAAGGCGGATCCATCCTCCACAGGGCGTAGACCTGTCCTGACTTCGTGGAAGAGAACGGAGTGGGGAGGAGATCGGGAACGCTGGGGTGTGAGGCTAGCTATGGGCTTAAAAAATAAAAGGTGAACAGGGAACGAAACTATCAATCTAAGCTAAGCTAAAGGGATAAACGAAAGCTATATCTAAAGACTACCCACTACGTAAACTAACTAGAGAGGGGAAACTAAACTACCCCACACCCACCACACCCACCACACCCACCACACCCACCACACCCACCACACCCCCCCATCCACACCACACCAACACCCATCCATCCGACACGCCGCTGATTCACATAGAAAAAAGGTCAAGATTAGTATATCTATAGACTATACTACTCCCTCAACACAAATGAAAAGGAAATAATAGACTTACCATGCACAAGAGGAAAACAGAGATGGTCTGGCTGGCACTCTTACTAAATAACTGTGAAAAAATTTTATGCTTTCGTCATTAGATGATGACATAGCAGCATGCATAGAAAATTGTAGATCAATGGATTGATTGCTCTGATTAGAAGCAATATAAAGACTTTCATTTTAAAAACCCGAATTTCTTATATGGCTACCCATTTTCGTGAATTGATTTTATATAAAAATTTACTTGACACATATGTTATATATTAATATATTATTTCTTAAAAGAAAGGTTGTAAAACTGTACCACTTTAGTTGGAATATGAAAGAGAAAGTGGTCTATATATATATATATGTATAGACTATAAGAGCATATCAAGAGACTCTTTATATTATCCCAGCTTTTTATTAAAGCAAGTCTCATAAATTAAAAATATTATTGACATGTTTAAAATGCAATTAGTTTTTTTTTTATTTACCGAATTGCTATAGTCGATAAGAGCAGATATCTAGTCTTAGATTATATATATAAATGTATTACAAGAGAACTAAAAGTTTTCACAACTGGGCATAGTAATATATAATATTGAGAGTATCGGGTTTTTATATTAGATAATAAGCAAATATAATAACAAGAATGTTTTAATAAAACATATAAGAATAAAAGGAATCTATACTTTATATAAAGGTTTTGATATGGAATATATATCATAGAATTAACTTTTAGTTATATAATTAAATGTTATGAAAGAAAGAAAGCGCATATAGAAAAAAAAATTATTCTGAACACTCTAATAAACTGACATCATGTTCATCGCACTGCTTGAGATCTTTATTAGAAATAGATCCACTAAGAAAAAATTGGCAATTCAACTAGTGATTATAAAGAATGCTTATAATAGCTTTTAAAATCACTCTCTGAATCGCTCCTTTTTTGTAGTGATATAGTATCTTACTGAAAATTATATAAACTAAATAGGAATTAATTTAATATGTTCTTATAACAGTTTGATCCACGAAATAGCTCGATGGATCATTAACTATCGCATTGTTTTTTTCTTTTTATTAATATATTAAATGTGTGACAGATACTATATATATGTCTTTTCTTTAATCCACCACACACACATACGCACACTCACCCAATTGTCTACCAATATATTGGCTGAACTGGTACAAAATATACTTGATTGTATGTTCCTTTTATATTTTCTTACAAACTAAGGATTATAATCCATAATTCGGACAGAATGCACTTTTTTGTAAACTGTTATTACCAATTGGTTGCGCAGGCGGTTTTTGTGTATCAATAAGCTAAAATAACATAGCAGAATCAATTGACAGGGATACTGTTCCCCATACATAGACTTAAAAACCGCCTAGTTCTCACTTACAATCGCTCAGACAGGATGATATATTAAAGTGGCCTTCACTGCGCCATAATCATAACAAAAAAAACTTTTTTTTATGGTGGCTTGCATCCTCCTTCTACATTCCCCCATTCATCCATCCCGTCATCCTTTTTGAGAATATTCATTCCTTTTGGGAATCGTCATTCATATAATATTACATTTCATAGTAGACAGAAGTCGGCCCAGTATAAAAATAAAACATATGTATGATTAATAAGAACTACAATTTCAGTTAACCAATAAAAACCGAATATGTTATATCAGCAATATGGTCCTGTCCGGATCGGCCGCCTATTGAGCTCGATCTGGACTGAAGGGATATTTCCAACAATCTTGGGCCGTCGGAATCCAGAAGATAATAATATCGTAAAAACATATATGCTAGTAATAATAGTTTTGCTTTCTTATAAATATATAGCTTGTATCATACCTCTCTCAAATAATTCCAAAATTGTTCATATATCCTGTCTCCTCAAGATTCTAATTAAAATTAGATTGGGTTTAATCTATAGATAATAATACAAGATATATTGGAATATACTTCTATAGCCGATTTTTATTCCACGGTATATATTTACAAATCATTCACAATCGCATTGTTATTTATATTTTTGTTAATACTTTTAATGTATGATAGAAGCTATATATAATAATATAATTTAAACTATGTTTTCTAGTATGTTTCATAAATAACACACTATCCAGATCCATACAAATTCTTCTATAATTATACTTAATGAAATTGGATCAAAAAGCATCAAACATTTTACACCAAAAAAGCAAGAGCCTACAGAAAAATATTACCAAGTCAAAATGAAAAGGGTGATATTCATAAACCAAAAGTAACTTTCGAACTAAATATATATAAACTGTTATCATGTTTTGGATTATATTATCTTATATATGTTATTATTATTATTCAACACACTGGCACACACCAGAAGCTACTCCCGAACTATATACATATATGAGCCTCTATCATATTTTGGATATACTATCTTGTATATTTTATTATTATTATTCAACACACGGACACACACCAAAAGCTACTCCCAAAATATATATATATACGAGTCTCTATCATATTTTGGATACACTATCATATATATTTATTTTCCTTTTATTCAATATACGGTTACACACCAGAAGCTACTCCCAAACTATATATATATAACCTGCTATCATATTTTGGGCTTACTATCATATATTTTTCTTTTCTTTTATCCAACACACGCACATACGCACACTCGCACACTCGCCCAATTGTCTACCAATACAATTGCTGCACTGATACAAAATATACATATTGTCTATTTCTTTTTGTGTCTTTTTACAACCTAAGGATTCTACTCAATAATTCGGACAGAATGCACTTTTTTGTAAATTGGTATTACCAATTGGTTGCGCAGACAGCTTTGTGTATCCCTAAGCTAAAGGAACATAGCAGGGTCCATTGACAGGGATACTGTTACCCATACATAGGTTGAAAGACCGTCTTGTGATCACTTACAATCGCCCAGAGAGGACGGTATATTAAAGTGGCCTTCACTGCGCCGTAACCAAAATAAAATAAAAATTCTATTTAACAATGGCGTCAATCCTCTTCCTACATTCCCTCCATCCCGCCATCCCACCATCCCGCCATCAACTTTACAAAACTACCAGAATCGCCACCACCAACAATATTATTCTTTTATTTTATAATCACTGAAAAATAAAAATCGAAATAATGGCCATATAATAAAACCTCAACACTCGGAAGTCATATACAATATTTCTCTATACCTGAAATGTTATATGTCACCATTCTCAGAGCTGACCTTCAACTCTCCAAGTCATATAGTATTCATACCACCATAATTCCGACACCTTCTTCGATCCCAATGACGCCATTCAATTCCGTCCCATCCCATCTAATTCCATCCCATCGGACATAATTTTCAAAGCTCACGCCTTTCAGTATACTTTTACGCGACTGGGTCTAGACCAAGCGGACGCCACCTAACAAAAAGTCTCGCGATGTTAATCTCTCGTCATTAGCATGCGCCATGAATGTCAAAACTTTGTCACACTGACTACTCACACGGACCACCCACACGGACCACCCACACGGACCACCCACACGGACCACCCACTCACACCGCCCACTTCTCGCCCATATAAAAAATACACTACTATTAAAACTTGATATTTTTAAATAAAAAAAAAACTCATATTATTGTTCTCACGCATTGTTTTATTCAGTTTTCTTCTAATAATAAAGTGTTTCTCTCAATCATTTGTAAAGCAGACATTGTAATTATGGGCAGACAAAAATGATTTAAAAAAAAATTTTATTAATATTCAAATATATCGTCAGAATCTTAGTTCACCACCTATAAAGGCGGATCCATCCTCCACAGGGCGTAGACCTGTCCTGACTTCGTGGAAGAGAACGGAGTGGGGAGGAGATCGGGAACGCTGGGGTGTGAGGCTAGCTATGGGCTTAAAAAATAAAAGGTGAACAGGGAACGAAACTATCAATCTAAGCTAAGCTAAAGGGATAAACGAAAGCTATATCTAAAGACTACCCACTACGTAAACTAACTAGAGAGGGGAAACTAAACTACCCCACACCCACCACACCCACCACACCCACCACACCCCCCCATCCACACCATACCA